TAATGGTAGGTTTATTTGAACAGTGAGAGACAGAATAACAACAAAAAAATCCAGAAAAACGCATGTCAAAAATGTTATAAATTGATTTGCATTTTAATGAGGGAAATAAGTATTTGACCCCTCTGCAAAACATGACTTAGTACTTGGTGGCAAAACCCTTGTTGGCAATCACAGAGGTCAGACGTTTCTTGTAGTTGGCCACCAGGTTTGCACACATCTCAGGAGGGATTTTGTTCCACTCCTCTTTGCAGATCTTCTCCAAGTCATTAAGGTTTCGAGGCTGACGTTTGGCAACTCGAACCTTCAGCTCCCTCCACAGATTTTCTATGGGATTAAGGTCTGGAGACTGGCTAGGCCACTCCAGGACCTTAATGTGCCTCTTCTTGAGCCACTCCTTTGTTGCCTTGGCCGTGTGTTTTGGGTCATTGTCATGCTGGAATACCCATCCACGACCCATTTTCAATGCCCTGGTTGAGGGAAGGAGGTTCTCACCCAAGATTTGACGGTACATGGCCCTGTCCATCGTCCCTTTGATGCGGTGAAGTTGTCCTGTCCCCTTAGCAGAAAAACACCCCCAAAGCATAATGTTTCCACCTCCATGTTTGACGGTGGGGATGGTGTTCTTGGGGTCATAGGCAGCATTCCTCCTCCTCCAAACATGGCGAGTTGAGTTGATGCCAAAGAGATCGATTTTGGTCTCATCTGACCACAACACTTTCACCCAGTTCTCCTCTGAATCATTCAGATGTTCATTGGCAAACTTCAGACGGGCCTGTATATGTGCTTTCTTGAGCAGGGGGACCTTGCGGGCGCTGCAGGATTTCAGTCCTTCACGGCGTAGTGTGTTACCAATTGTTTTCTTGGTGACTATGGTCCCAGCTGCCTTGAGATCAGTTCTCATGATCATTGCAACTCCACGAGGTGAGATCTTGCATGGAGCCCCAGGCCGAGGGAGATTGACAGGTCTTTTGTGTTTCTTCCATTTGCGAATAATCGCACCAACTGTTGTCACCTTCTCACCAAGCTGCTTGGCGATGGTCTTATAGCCCATTCCAGCCTTGTATAGGTCTACAATCTTGTCCCTGACATCCTTGGAGAGCTCTTTGGTCTTGGCCATGGTGGAGAGTTTGGAATCTGATTGATTGATTGCTTCTGTGGACAGGTGTCTTTTATACAGGTAACAAACTGAGATTAGGAGCACTCCCTTTAAGAGTGTGCTCCTAATCTCAGCTCGTTACCTGTATAAAAGACACATGGGAGCCAGAAATCTTTCTGATTGAGAGGGTGTCAAATACTTATTTCCCTCATTAAAATGCAAATCAATTTATAACATTTTTGACATGTGTTTTTCTGGATTTCTTTGTTGTTATTATGTCTCTCACTGTTCAATTAAACCTACCATTAAAATTATAGACTGATCATTTCTTTGTCAGTGGGCAAACGTACAAAATCAGCAGGGGATCAAATACTTTTTTCCCTCACTGTAGCCGGCTCATGCATACCCTTTCTCTATCCTGCTTATATGAAATAAACAAAAGGTGTATCTATCATATGGAGTTTCATCAAAAGGTCCTTTACTCTCATCCAGTTCATAAAAACGAACCGAACAATCTGTCAGAAAGTGCTTCACCAGAGTCTGTCACCCCCACTCTGCTCATGAAATGAACAGAGCATTTTACCGTATTGAACTTCACCGAAGGTCCTTTGCTCCTGCTCAGTTCATAAAATGAAGAGAACTATCATATGGAGTTTCACTTAATGTCCTTCACCCCCGCTAATGTTTCAACTTGATCCTTCACCTCAACAACCTTGATGGAGTTTCCTCCTGCTATGGCTTCAATGTAATCCTTCCCCTCAACAACCGTGATTGTATTGCAATGCACTGCACCCAAATGGTGCCAAAAGGGCTCTCTTGTGCGCAACCCCAAAATACAGTTATCTTTTATCAATGTTTTTTCACATTTACACACCAGACAGTATCAATCAAATTAAAATGTAACCTATGTTATTCACTTAATTAGTAGTAGAGTCATACACAGAGACAAGCAACAGTACTCTTAACATTACTTGTGAGGTGGCGCTTTACATTAAATTCATATAATCTTTACAAAATAATATGAAAAGCCACTCACCTCTTGTTGCTCGTCCTGGTGATGTATCTACCCTGCAAAATACACAGGCAAAAAATCTACATTGGAGAAGGAAAAACAACAGGGACAACCAGCATGGAAGTCATGAGATAAAGACAATAATTTGTTCTATTCTTACCTGTTGCTCAGCACTCTCTGCTGCTGCAACAACCATACGCCCATGGTGTTGATCCACGGTGCACAAGTAACAGACAGGGATTGGTAAGAATTATAAAATACAATGACAAAATACCATAAAGATCAATGTATCAAAATAAACTACAAAATACTTGTATTTTGAAATGTATTTAAAATGTCTCCTAAATGAGCAAAATGTATATGTGAAAAAAAAACACATACCTAAATGAACTGGAAAGCACACTGTGTATAACTATTGGCCTTGTTTCTGGGTCGGAGCAGAGTAATACTCTGCATGCTTTACAATAGTTCATTTAGCAGACACTCTTGTCACACCATAGTGCCACCAGACTTCTGATACCAATGCAGGGTGAAAGGGAGCCACAAAATTGTGAACCAATATAAAAAAAATGGTATAGAAAAGTATTTTGAAAATGCAAATTACAGCTCTCAAAAGTATCTTGTTACAAAATACATAGGAGTCCCAGTGCAATACAAATGACTAAATACTCAGAAGTTATTAAAATATATATTTCAAATACACATAATAGAAATACTGCCCTTCTCTGGTAATATATGCTGTGGTGATCCCATTGACAGTACATTTCAAGTACTTTATTGTGATTAGGGCAGATTTTCATCTTCATTTGACCGGCGTCGACTAGGGTAGGCCTATCCTTCATCAAGGCGGGAACTGGGCGGCAGGTAGCTTAGTGGTTAAGAGCGTTGTGCCAGTAACCGAAAGGTCGCAGGTTCTAATCCCCGAGCCCACTAGGTGAAAAATCTGTCGATGTGCCCTTGAGCAAGGCACTTAACCCTAATTGCTCCTGTAAGTCGCTCTGGATAAGAGCGTCTGCTAAATGACCAATTATTATTATTTATTATTATTATCAAGGCGGGAACTTGATGTTGACCGGCGTCGACTAGGGTAGGCCTATCCTTCATCAAGGCGGGAACTTGATGTTGACCGGCGTCGACTTGGGTAGGCCTATCCTTCATCAAGGCGGGAACTTGATGTTGACCGGCGTCGACTAGGGTAGGCCTATCCTTCATCAAGGCGGGAAATTGATGGTGAGGCTTGAGATGAGTATCACAAAACGAGCACACAAAAGTTAGGCAGGACTTGACAGCTTTTTGTTTCTTATCGAAGCAGAAATCACATTCCTCGTCGCCAGGTCTAGCATAACAGTCGACTTGAGAAGTCAAGACCTGGAGAGCTGTCATTTAGTTTCTCCATAACCCCCACCATCATACACATTTTCTTCAGCACAGGCCTTGGGGTGAATGTCTCTGCACTGCGGGCAGCTGTAGATGTGACCGGTGTAGATTGCCTTTGCATTGTGTTTTCATCGGTTTACAACAGAGTTGGTGTTGATATTTTATTCTGATAAAGAAACCAACAATATTCATAAATGAAATGTTGTGCTGTCCTTATGCACCAACTCCTCTCTTCCACATGGATACAGTAGACTGGGTGCAAATAAGAATAACAATCGTCTCGTTTGATAATGATACAATATAATGCAATGTACAGTGTAGCCTATGGGCCTTGGCTAGCCAACGTTCATAAATGACAGCCAAGCGTTACTTACAGTTAGTCAGTCCCTCCAGGATTCCGCGATTCTGCGATCGCATAATTAATGCAAAATCAACCAATCAGCGCATATTATGCGAGAGCTCGCAATTTTGACCAATCCCCACACTTTTAGCGCATTAAAGGGTCCAATCAAAAGCGGGATCGTAATTTTGACCAATTACTGCACTGTTACCGTGGAAAATGTCCCAATCCAACCACACGTCAACAATGTTTTTCCCACTGGCCTGTCAGCGTATTCACGTGCGAAGATAATGGCTGATTGTTGATGGCTGACAGGCAGTACAATGAACAGAAATCAATCTCATTTGCTAACTAAAATAACAGCTAAAGACTGTGCGAAACAATTTCCAAATGTTTTACATGAAAGTGGGGGGAAATTGTTTTGCACTCCATGCAACGTTGTGCTGGAACACGAGAAAGTCGACAATCAACAGTCACTTCGAATCAGCAAAGCATATGAGATTGTCAGAACAGTTCCCACAGCAGCGGCAGATCACCATGACTGAAGTGGTGGCCAGGAAGACTGGCAAGCGCTGAAAGAATCATGGTGTGTGGCGTTTTACTCAAACTTTTACTCCGCTAACCTTGGCTTTAGTAGGGTGGTCGGCACTCTGCTCTCCCCAGCCTGTCTATGGAGAGCGCTGCTCAAAGCACTGAGTGCAATTTGTCAGCTTTGCCTTTTTAAACTCCCTGTAAAACTTAATACGGATCACGAAAGCACAATCTTTCTGGATTTTTGTTGTTGAAATGATAATACTGTTTTAAAAGTACATATCAACCACAATACTCGATTTTTACGTTTATCTCCCTTACGACCCTTTCAGAAAAAATCACAATCAAGTATTTTGAAGACAACTTATGCGAAAGAAATGTCGATCCTCAAACTGAAAGCTATTGATCAGCTTTGAATCTATTTTTTTTTTTTTTGAGAGATAGAGTGGGAATGGGAGGTGCATCTCGTGTTGTCAGCAAGCCCCAAGCCTGATGGAGAGGTGTGTGTGTGTGAGTGGATTATGACACACAGATATATATTTTATCTAATTAATTGGCGCAATTGTTATTTTTCAGATTTGTGAAGATTGGGTACGCACTTGCACAGCAGTCAACATTCCCCTTTCTGAAGGAGAAAGTCATCAATGGAGGAAAAGTACTTGGGAGATGTCTACCTGAAGGTGAAGGAAGAACTCAAGCAACATATTGCAGGGAAGCCAGTGGCAGTCATCTTTGATGAAACTCCAGATGTTGAAGGACGATGTGTACTAAACATCCTCATCGCACCACTTGAAAAGGATACCTCGGGGAGAATTCTTGCCTACCTCGCAGAGACAGTGTTTCTGGAGCAGTGCAACCATTCAACAGTTTCCATGGCGGTGGTGAAATGTCTACAAAACGATAGTTACCGGAGTGTAACTCCAGTTCTATGAGTGGAGTGGAGCCCCATAGGGGAGCTCTGCTCCTATTGGTTTACCCCGCTGCCTAGGCAGAGAACAGCCTGAGACAAAATTATGCACACACCTGCAGCCAATAGGAGTACAGGTGTCCCTATAAGAGGGGACGCTTCCCCTCAATCAGCCTCCTGAGATATTTATCTTCAGCGAGACTAGAGAGGGTCAGCAGGGCCTTAAGTCCTATGGGGCTCCGCTCCACTCATAGAACTGGAGTTACACTCCGGTAACTATCGTTCTATATATCGTGGAGCTCCGCCCCATAGGGGAGCTCTGCTCCTATTGGTTTAAGGCAGAGCGTAACGCTCCAAAATGTACTCCCTGCCGAGCCCAACACTTCCCATCGAAATGAAAAGGTCAGGACTAGCAATGGCTGCGACCAAGTCCCGCAGTACTGTAACCACTGTATACAATACATGAAGTCACAATATACTGCGTCATCGGTCCAAATCCGCCCCACATAGTCCAATGGCAACACCAATGTCTAGTGGGCAGATCACCAGAATACGGGCCATACTAATCTGTACTAGCAGATAGATGGTACCTCAATATCCTGTTACAATAATACCGACCACTAATGGAATGACACAAAGTGTCACTCTACATTGTGTACACGGTAAACCGCCCCACTCAATCAGTGGAACCCCAAAGATTAGTGGGCAGATCCCAGAACATGATTCATACTAATCTGAACAAGCAGATAGATGACGTCACATTCCGTCAAAATTGTCATGACCGGTCTAATAGTACCGTAACCAAGGTTACTACTATTATCCCTCATCATTCCGCCTCAACCCAGTTATTCACTGGTGGGCAGATCAATACATGCCTTCTACTGTACTGAACATGTCAGTCAGGAGTCATGCTATAATATGTCCTTCTATCAGAAGCGGACCTGAAAGAGACCTGTCTCTTCTGTCCTGCATACCTCTCTCCTAGCTCAAGTCCTCCCCTCAGCCACGCTGAGTACAAAGAGTTAGAAGACATATCCAAGAGATAGAACCGGATAAATGGAGACGGTGACGACCACGATGCCGCTGCACAGATATCCTCTACCCCTGTTCGTCTGAAAAGGGCAGTAGAAGCTGCTACTCCACGAGTGGATTGGGCTCTTATACCCTGAGGCAATTGTCGCCCCGCTGCCTCATAAGCTGTCTCAATGCCTTCACAAAGCCAATGAGACAGACGCTGTTTTGAAAGTGGTCTACCTAGTGCAGCCGCACCATGACACACAAACAGCTGACGCGATGACCTAATCGCTGCTGTGCGCTTAACGTAACACGCCAAAGCGCGTACTGGGCACAGGCGATGGAGCCTTTCCTCACTCCTCTCCCTATGAGGAGGGGGAGAAAAAGCCCACAGCTCCACGGTCTGTGATCTATATGAACTCCTAATAACCTTCGGCACAAATGCCGGGTTAGGACGTAACACCGCTCTGCTCAGATCGGCATTAATGGCAAGGCAGTCGGGTCTCGTTGAAAGAGCACACAAATCACTAACACGCTTAGCAGTAGTCAAAGCGAGCAACAGTGCCGTCTTCATAGACAGCATCTTGAGGGGTATTTGATTCAATGGCTCGAACGGCGACTCACAGAGCGCTTCGAGTACCAAAGCCAAATCCCACTGCGGAAGCGTGGCTCTAGGCATTGGCCTAAGCCGCCGCGTTCCTAATAAGAAACGTTTCACTAGAGGGTGGCTGAAGACAGTGCCTCGTGACAAGCTGAAATCGCCGCTGCAAACACCTTAATGGTGGCGGGCGATCGCTGCTTATCAAACAGACCTCTCAACCTGACAGTTCATGGGGTCTACATTCTCTGTGACACACCATTGTGCAAAAACTTTCCATTTACTGGCATACACCCTGGAAGTGGAACTGGCACGTGCACCCTGTATGGTCCTGATTACAGAATCAGATAACCCACGGCGCTCTAGCCTGTCCCTCTCAGGAGCCAAGCCTTCAGTGGTTGGCCGATTATGGGCAATCGCCCTATCGAGCCTCCCGCCTGAGACAATGCGTCCCGTCGATGTGGAATTGGCCAAGGTGGCGCAATCAACATCTGACTCATCTCCGCAAACCATGGAGCCCTTGGGCGATCGGGGGCTACCAATATTATTGACAGCCCGCCTGATCTCACCCTGGCTAACAGTGGGAGAATGCAGGACAGCGGAGGGAATGCATACAGAAGAACTCTCGGCCACGGATGGTGCGCGAACGCGTCCCTTCCCAGTGGCGGTTCGTCCTGTTCCCTCAGAGAGAACCATAGAAGACAATGCGCATTCACGCTTGACGCGAATAAGTCCACCTCGGCTCTCCCGAACTGTTCCCAAATCTGGAGAACAATGTCCGGGTGCAGACGCCACTCGTCGTCTCGAGGACCCCCTCGAGACATGAGGTCTGCTCCTACGTTCAAGTAGCCCGGAATGTGTGCTGCTCTCAACGAGCGAAGGTGCTCGTGAGCCCACAGCCACAATTCCTCCGCCGACCGGTGGAGTGCAGGAGACCTGACTCCTCCCTGGCGATTTATATGGGCTACTGTGGTCCGGTTGTCTGACCAGACCAGCACATCGCGACCCCGAAGGGTAGACGCGAAATGGGTCAGAACCAGTCAAACCGTTTCCAACTCCAAGAGGTTGATGTGGCGACTCGAAGGAGGCCACACCCCTCTTATCGCTTGGGTCTGACATGTCCCTCCCCATCCCGTCAGAGAGGCATCTGTAAACACTGGAATGTAGGAGGACACTTTGCCTATCGGGACTCCGTGCGTGAGAACGCGCAGATCTCTCCAATAGTTCAGATCTGCACTGAGCGAGAGGGGAACCACCACCAACCGATGATGTTGACGCACTGGGTCTAGTCTTAGTTGGGCGAACCATCGCTGCATCCTGCGCATGTGCAGGAGTCCCAGCGGGACCACGACGTGGGCTGACTACATGAGACCCAAGAGTGACATGACATACAGCGCCGTTACCGTGTGATTCGGACGAAACCTTCTCAGGGCTAGCAACAGGGCTACCCTTCGAGGGTCCGAAATTCGAGCCCTCATCATCAGTGTCTAGCTGTATCCCCAGGTAGACCACCTGATGACTGGGCCAGGGTGCGCTCTTTTTCCAATTCACAGCGAACCCCAGACGCGTGAGATGAATCACTGTCTGTGTCGTGTGAGTGAATGCCAGCTCTGCTGACGGGGCGAGAACCAGTAGGTCGTCTAGGTAGGCTAGTAGCCTTATTCCCTGACGACGCAACGGTTCCAGTGCCGCCTCCACACACTTGGAAAACGTGCGAGGTGCCAGGGCGTACCCAAATGGCATCCTCGTGTATTCGTACGCCACCCCTTGAAAGGCGAATCACAGAGACTTTCTGTGACGCGGCTGCACCGGAACATGAAAGTACGCATCCTTCAGGTCTATGCTTGTACAAAAGTCTCCTTTCTGGACACATTCCAGCAGACGTTTTGTCGTGAGCATTCGGAAGGGCCGTTTGGTTACGCTCTCGTTGAGACTGCGTAAGTTCAATATCGTCCTCATTCCCCCCGTCTTTTTGGGCACCAGGAAGTAAGGCGAATATAGCCCTTTGCTTCTGGGGAACTACTGTGACCGCCGCCTTCGCTAAAGGTTCTGTGATCTCTGACACCACAGCGGCCACTTTTTCGGGCGTTTTCATCACCGTCTCCACCACTCCCCTGAATGGGGGTGGGGTCCGATGGAATTGGATGGCATAACCCTTCTGCAGCGTCTGGTCTAGCCAGCGTGAGAGGGTACAGAAGCTGTGGTACGTTCAGTAGGAATTACCTGTATTCCTCGATGGCCCTTGCCGCCGCTGTTCCCTAGCACTGAGGTGGCGGAACAGCCCAAGGCGGGCCTCCCCTGAAAGGGAGAGGAAACATCAGCGCGTTCTGAGAGAATCGGGGGCACCAATACGTTAGTTACACCCGTAACTCTAGTATTCCGGCCCTCCGTGAACGCAGCACGGGTCTGAACTGCACTGACTGAGGCGTTAGCCTGAGACAGAGCGCCCTCCCCGGATAGCGGTTGTGTCATCATGCCGTTATCTGGCTGAGACTGTTGCCTGCTATGTGAGACACTCACTACAGCACTCCTAGGAGTCTGTGACGTGAGGTCTCTATTAGGTACCACAAGGCGGTGCCTTGATAACTTTTTTACACTCGCCTCCTGTGTGTGCTCAGCTGCGCACCCCTGGTGGGCTGAGCTACACTCAGAGTGGTGAATATCAGCGCGTTCTGTGAGAAACGGGGGCGCCGATACGTTGGTTACATCCGTAACTGTAGTATTCCGGCCCTCCGTGAACACAGCACGGGTCTGAACTGCGCTGACCGAGGCGTTAGCCTGAGACAGGGCGTCATCCCCGAATAGCGGTTGCGTCATCATGCCATTGCCTGGCTGAGACTGCAGCCTGCTATGTGAGACCTTCACTACAGTACTCCTAAGAGTCTGTGGTGTGAGATCTTTATAAGGTAAGCTAAGGCTGCGCCTTGCTACCTTTCTCCTCCTCACCTCCTGTGTGCGCTCAGCTACGCACCTTAGGTGGGCTGAGCTACACTCAGAGTGGTGGGGGAGAGACATAGGGCGTGAAGTACTCTGAACGTTCTCAGACGTGTTATGGAAAAAGGGCTCTCTTGTGACAATGTCAATGGGAGCCAACTCTTTATTAAACACATCAAAACAAACAGTCTCCTCCATACCCTGAACAGAAGGGTGGGGGGGAATAGTGGGCTCAGTTGTACCACGCGCTGAGCCAGCTCCCATTCTCTCCCCCTCGTCCCGTCATTGACATCGCCTCTTATGCGCCCCCTTAGGGTGCTTCCAGGTCGACGTCGTGATCACCTCCCTTGCCGGTGGAATTGTCGTCGCCACGGTTGCTGTTGTGGGGGCGGGGCCCACTCGCCTGCTGCTCGCGGCTGACGTCTGACGCCTGGCACGCCGCCTCGCTGTAGATCCTACTCTACTGGGGGCGTTGGAGGTAGACGGCTTCTGTGGCGTGTGGCTAGACTTCCCTGCTCATGGCAGGTGTCTTGCCAGCTGTTTCTTTTCCACGTCCAACTTTGCAAAATGCTCCGTCGCCTCTTTGACGGCGACTCCGAGGAGACCGTCGTCAGAGAGGGGGGGCATTGAGCAGTGACGCTCTGTCGGTCTCCTTCATGGCCGTCAAAGACAGCCAGAGGTGTCGCTCCGTGACCACCGAAGTGGCCATGGACCTCCCCGCACATACAGCCGACGCCTGAGTTTGGTGAAGAATAGTGCCAGATATTCTAGACGCCTCTTCCACCTCCTCACTCGTGAGCTCAGTTCTACCCGTTGTTAAACAGGACAGAGAGGCCGCGAGGAAGGCAATATTGTTAGCTGCTGCTATAGCTTGGGCTCCCAACGTGAAGGACTTCTCTGCCAGCTGCGCTGTGAGTCTGTCCTTTTGTGTTGGCAAAGTGGCTTTTTTGGAGGAGGGCCAGGGACTCGAACCCGGCACTAGATACGCCGCCATGGCGCTCTCGAGCCTGGGGATTCCCTTGGCAGCCATCTCCCTTCCTTCCACTCTAGTGAATGGGCAGTACGCTTTAGCTGACGAACGCGCCGCTAAAGGTGCCTCCCATGAGCCCTCAACGAATTTGCTGAGAGAGGGCATGGCTGGAACCAATGGCTCAGCCGCCCTTCTCGGCCGAGAATAGGGTCCGCCCTCCATCATATCCACTTCCGCAGCGGGGGGAATGGGGGGCAGCGCTATCTCTAGTCGTTTGGCAGCCCGCTCAATGAGCCCAGGAAAGTCTGAGCGCAGAGAGGCCGCTGCGAAGGACAGGGCTACTGATCTCTCAGAGCCTGTGTTGTCATCGCCCAGGGAGCTACAAGACCTCTCACTCTCCACTGGAAAGGGGGTCTTGAAAGTCTGGGTCAGAGGGACGGATTGTTCCAGTGGAATATCCATCTCTTCCCCATTCTCCCTGTCATCCTCAGTCGGCGCCCTCAGATGATGCCTCAGAGGCTGAGGCTAGCACTGAGAGCACATCCTCCAAGGGGATATCCTCCCTAAAAAACGCCCAGCGCCGCTTCCTCTCCTTTAAAGAAAGGAGGGCGCAGCTGGTGCAATTAGGGGGATTGCTGATGCCCTCCTTGGCGTGCTGTGAGCCCAAACACACAAAACATAAGTCGTGGGAGTCCACAGCCTTCATGGAGGAGCATTGGCATTGAGCTCTGAAAATAGCTTTTGGGGGTGGAAAATCTCCTGGTGTGCTCATTCTAGGACAGGGTTCTTCAATTCCGGTCCTGGAGGGCCGAAACACCTCTGTTTTTCATCCTCTCCTTCTAATCAGGGGCTAATTCAGACCTGGGACACCAGGTGAGTGCAATTAATGACCAGGTAGAAATAAAAAACAGAAGTGTTTCGGCCCTCCAGGACCGGAATTGAAGAACCCTGTTCTAGGACGACGTCGATGACTGTAAAATCCGACGGCGTATCTCGTCCTGAGTCTTCTTTTCTTCGTCTCTTCTTGGCTTCTTCAGTCTAGTCCAGTCGCTGAAGATAAAGGGAAGCTGATTGAGGGGAAGCGTCCCCTCTTATAGGGACACCTGTACTCCTATTGGCTGCAGGTGTGTGCATAATTTTGTCTCAGGCTGTTGCTGCCTTAGGGCAGAGAGTAAACCAATAAGAGCAGAGCTCCCCTATGGGGCGGAGCTCCACGATATAGAACTACAATATCTCCAATGATGACGTCATTGTCTTTGACATAGACAATGCTGCGTACATGAAGAAAGCCTACAACGCTGCACTTCAGTCATTGTTCCCCAACTCCCTGCACATAACATGCATGGCGCACACCATGAATCTGATAGGGAGTGCTTTCTGCAAACCTTTTGATCAGCTGAACGCATTCATGCTAAGTTTTTCGCAGATGTTTTACCAGGCAGGGGCACGCAAAAGAAGATACCCTAGCTTCCTCACCACCAAACCGGGAGGACAGAAGAGAGCAACTATGGCTCCCAATCCATGTGCAACACGCTGGAACTTATGGCTCTCAGCAGTGCAGTACCTCTCAGAGCAGTTTGGCCTCTACAAGGGGTTCATTGAGATGGAAATACAGGTATGATTTAAATCTACATGCATTCTACAATTGCTTAAGTCATTGTCATTTATATCATTGTAATAATGCAGAAAAAAGTGGCCTACAATTTTTGTAAGCCGTGGTGGCATTTCACAGTGAGTATAAGTAATATTGCTTATGTTACTCTTTTTTTATTCCTTGTCATTCACAGGTGTGTGGCCGAAGAAACTCCATGAGATGCTACAAGATCAAGAGCTGGTTCAGTCGCTGCAGATTCAGCTGAACATCATGGCAGACAAGTGCAAAGTCATCCTGCAGCTTCTCGACATCTTCCAGAGCAGACGCCCCGTAACAACAAAGATCTTTCACTATTTAGAGGACTTGCAAATGAACATTGCAGCCAACAAAGAACTACAGTATGAGGCTTGTTCACACTACTTTGACGACTTGCCCATTGCTGTGAAAGCAAAAATCTTGAGCACTGTTGAAGAGGCATAAAGCAATGCAGAGGAAAAACGTACAAAGTACATGTCAGATGGACAGCCTGCCATGGCGTTCCTCCAAGAAGTTAGGGTGTTTGATCCATGTCACATTGCGTTTATGGATGACAGTGTCCAGATACAAGGCTATTCCAGGCTTCAGTAAGGTACCGAGAGATTAACTGGATGCCTACTTGACCAATTTAGGACCAGCAGCACTGAGAGCCACAGTGAGTGGGGTGGTGGATTTGGATATCTTCTGGGATGGACTTCGAGAGACTTCCTGTGCTGAGCACCCTGGCCAAACGCTACAAAGATGCAGTCTCAAACTCAGCTGATGCGGAGCGAAGCAACAGTATCTACAAGCTCAAATCAAATTTTATTTGTCACATACACGTGTTTAGCAGATGTTATTGCGGGTGTAGTGAAATGCTTGTGCTTCTAGCTCCGACAATGCAGTAATATCTAACAAGTAATATCTAACAATTTCACAACATATACCCAATACACACAAATCTAGTAAGGAATGGAATTTAAGAAAATATACATATATGGACAAGCAATGACAGAGCGACATGGACTAAGATACAGTAGAATATTATAGAATACAGTATATACATATGAGATGAGTAGTGCAAGATATGTAAACATGATTAAAGTGACTACTGTTCCATTTCTTAAAGTGGCCAGTGATTTCAATAGGCAGCAGCAGCCTCTAATGTGCTAGTGATGGCTATTTAACAGTCTGATGGCCTTGAGATAGAAGCTGTTTTTCATTCTCTCAGTCCCAGCTTTGATGCACCTGTACTGACCTCGCATTCTGGATGATAGCGGGGTGAACAGGCAGTGGCTTAGGTGGTTGATGTCCTTGATGATCTTTTTGGCCTTCCTGTGACATCGGGTGCTGTAGGTGTCTTGGAGGGTGGGTAGTTTGCCCCCGGTAATGCGTTCGGCAAACCGCACCACCCTCTGGAGAGCCCTGCGGTTGCGGGCGGTGCAGTTGCCGTACCAGGGGGTGATACAGCCCGACAGGATCCTCTCAATTGTGCATCTGGAGAACCCATCTGGCTGGACCGATTTCATTACAGAACAGCCGGGAAAAACTATTGGATATCAGAGCGGCGGTAACTCACCAGCATTACGACCAGGAATACGACTTTCAGATCCTTTGTTTGCTCTCCCCAGGGCAATTGAACTGATTCCAGCGGCTGACCCAAAACATCGCCGGCGGAGGAGAGGCACTCGGAGCGGCCTGCTGGTTCGACTTAGGAGGCGCGCATACCACCCACTGCTTCCAAGTATACTACTCGCTAATGTTCAGTCTCTGGTTAACAAGCTCGACGAGCTCCGGGCAAGGATTTATTTCCAGAGAGACATCAAGGCCTATAACATACTTTGTTTTACAGCTTGTGTTGTCCAGCCGTAGGCGATCAGCCTCTATCAACAATCTATGAGCCTTGGTCTTCATGTACCACAACCAACGACTCCGCAGTGGAGCAATTGATATGGAGGATAGGGAGGATGACATGGATGATTACATTGAAATATAGGCCTAGATGAGCTATGCCTTTGGTCACACCCCACTTCTCGTTATGTTCAGAAAAAGAGCTGTGTTTGTTCAAAAAAAAGAAACCGCCCAAAAGAGCACTTTGTCTCTAATTGTTTTCATGGAAGATGAACTTGAGATTGTGGGGATTTATTATTCTCATAGATGGATGGGATGACTAACTTAGAAAGAATGCATTAATGATTAAGGCATGGAGGGTCTGGACTGTGCTGATGTGGGTTGTTTCACCTGGCAAGCTGTGATTAATGTGAGGAGCTGTTTTAGGGGGTAAGATAAGATAATAATTTGTGTCTCCAAATACTAGACTATACTGCTTCTTTGTGATCTGTGAACCGTCCTTGGACGTAGGAATGGTGTCTAGGGGAGCTGGCTCTTCTCACCATGACAGGTTGTTATGATAAGAACTTATGCCTGGCAACAGTGTGCAACGGTGGAGCGCCAAGAGTCTGGGACTAGCCTGTGCGCCAACGGATTGGCTGAGTAAGTCTAAACCACGCTCAGTCTCTACCCTGATAGGCCCAGCAGAGAGCGGGAACTAAAAACTGTCCGAGTATATGAAGAAGAATCTGTAACAATGGATTAGTTCTCTGAGTGCCCTGCGTGGTATTTCAGGGAGCCCGTATATACGAACATCATATTTACCATTGAAGTGTTTGCATTAATTAAATACTAGTCTATTTAGAAGACGTGTATTGACCTCTTTTGTTCCTAATACCAGATTTGAATTGACGCAATTTCTAACAGATATAATATGTCTTAATTGCAGATTGGGCCCCAGGTGTTTATTTTGTCCTCATTTAATCTTTTTTAGTACCTACAGATTAGGGGGCAAGCATTTTTTTATGTTGGAACTCTGAGCTAACTTCCACCCTTTTTTTGTATATAAAAAGAGCTGTTTGTTCAGGAAAATAAACAGAATTGAGCACTTTTAAATGTTTTTAATTGTTTTTGTATTATGTATTCTGATTAAAATCGATCTAAAACTGAGCACATTTGACTTTTTATGGCTTTATATGGAATTAACGTGAAAACAAATAATGCAAAATGTATCGCAGAATTCAGAAAAGCTGCCGCAAAATCAAGCATTTTTGGCAGCAGAAATCACAACAAAATGTGAAGGGACTGGTTAGTACATGACGTGCACTTGCAAACTAACAGTAAAATATCGTCAATATCATAACAAACAAAAACACATGACATACCTGACAAAGAAACAAACATCCATAAATGAAATGTTGTGCTGCTCTTATGCACCAACTCCTCTGTAAAGTATAAATTAACAACAGGGGGACATGAATAGCCAAGCTAGCCCATGCTAGATAGCATGTACAGGATTCACAAATCAACAAATGAAAAGTTCATGAATGCATAAATATCACAATGTACTGGTAGAATACCATAATATTACAATGTTAGTGGCGATATAAACTCAATATCTGTGTTTTAACATGTCGGATTGATTATGATTTTCATGGGACAATTTTTCAGTAACCTACCTCTTCCATATGGATACAGTAGACAGGGAAGAGGTAAGCAGTGTTGCCAACTCCTCAGTAAGGAAAGTAGCTATTGGCTGTCCTAAAAGTCGCTAAATGACGTCATCGCCTAATTTGCATAATTGGCCATGTACATGTAATTGTGATGGACGATGCAGCAGAGATGAATAATGTCGTGGGAGAGACAGAAAGTGAGTAAAAAACACCATAAATATGTTTAGAACTACAAATGAACTTTCTTCTGTCGATTCTTGTTTTTTTTTATGTCACAATTCCAACCCTCCTCCTTTATCCGGGCTTGGGACCGGAAAAAGTGATCCAGAAGAGACACTCTGGCGGAGTTACTTCGTGTTTTTTTTTTTTTCGTTTTCTTAAGTTTGGTTTTTAACCTTATGGTCCACTTAGGAGCCTACAACAAGTCACAGTAAAACATGAACATTTTGAACCATAACATTTTAAACATTAACAATCTAAATGGACCAACAAGAAACAATAGATAAAACTGTCAATGGCAATGTGAGAAAATGATGGTAACTATTCTGGCCCTAATTCAGGTTAATTGTTGTTGTTTTTCAGACCACCCTCCACACACACACAGGCTGTGCTGGCTCACAGAAAGAGTGGGTCATTGTCATTTTGGTCAAGGCTCTCTATGGCAGGTTCAGCAACTGAGGGAGCTGACTTAAATGAGTAAGCAGCTGATGTGCCAAAAAGCTGCAAAACATTATCAGGCAGCTGGTGCTCATAGCAAGCCTCACCAGACAGCTTCAGTCCATATCGAATGTACAGGATGGAGTTAAGGGTCTGCAAGGACATCCGATTTCAAAGTTTGCTTTTTACCACACTCATCTGGCTGAATACTCTCTCGACTTCAGCATTCGACTGTGGCAAGGACAACACAGACACAGCAGCCATGGCAAGTTCTTGAAACGGGTTGATATCAGCTGCATCCCTGAACTTCCAAATCTCACTCCAGAAGCCCAGTGTGTTTTTTGTCTCATTCCATTTACTAAGATGGATGGCACGCCATTGCTGGACAATCTTGTCTATCTCTGCAGGGGAGTAGCCAAGGAGCTTGGCTGTTTTTTCTATTTCTCCAGGGCTCTTATTGTGCTTTAGAGTTTCCTCCACATTGAAAACTGACATGTACTGCAATGGTTCGATGTTGTCCGGCAGTCTCACCCTCACTAATGATGGTGGTGAAGGCTACACATCGCTTTCGGACATTGTTTTTATCCTCAGGCGCAAGGTGGAGCTCAGCTGCCTTTGACTCAAAAAGGTAACCAAGGTACGGTTTGGGACTGATGTATCCATCTATTGGCCCTTTGAGTACATCAACATTTGCCAGTGGATTCAGCACCCTGCTGCTCACAGACTTGATCAGGCTAACCAAGCTGTCAAGTAGCTTAAGATGATCTACTTGCTCTCCCTCAAAAGCCTTGATGGCCAACTGTACCTCACCCAGCACTGACTTCAAAAAAGTCAGATACAATATGTTTTGAGGATCACTGTACATGGAGTATAAAACCTCAGCCATGTAGCAGTGTTCACTGGACTTGGTGACTGCGAAATGCAGCCTAAGCTCCTCCCACTGGTCCAGAATGTGTGAAACCGAGGGTTCAATGGAGAGCCAACGTGTGGCACACACCTTGGTTATCTGTAAAGGTTTCTCCCCACAGTTGATGGTCTAATATATGGCCTTGTAGGCCTCCCTGCGCTTTGGAGACACTGAAAACCAGTT